CCAGGGCTGATTGCTGAGTATTTTCTGACACCCCCCACAACTCTTGAGACTTTGTGTCACAATTCTGTAAACTTCCTAATTGTATGTCTATGTCTGGGCTTACGTCCAAACCACCTTTACATAAATTTAACACAAATAATTTAGAGTCTTTTTCTCCTCCAGCTGGCAACCCCAATAAATGCACCCTGTGCACTTCATAGTAGGCTTGCTAGGGAAGGTGGATAAAGTGAACTTCTGCATTAGAGAAGTTAACACGGGGTGTAGCACCCAAAGAAGGATGTAAACATGTCAGTCCATGTCACCTGATAAATAAATACCAGGCCCCAGGTCTCATTGCAGCCACATTAAGATGCTACCCTGGAGAGGTTCTAGGTGAACCAGCCCAGGGTCCTTGTGGTGGGGCACTTTCTGAAATGGACAATCATGAGTTTCAGGGGCTCCACCTTAGTCACCATAGCAGCATCACCATAGCAGCATTTCCTAAGCATGTTTTATTTATTTATTTATTTATTTATTTATTTATTTATTTTTAATTTATTTTTTTATTGATTGTGCCATTACAGTTGTTCTATTCCCCTCCTTCATGTGCCAACCCAAGAGGAAGACACAAGGAAGTAGCAGTTGTGTGGCTACCCTGAGTTTTTATATTTCTCTCTTGCCTCAGTGCCACTCACACTGAGTTCTCTGGGGTGTTTCTAAATGTTTCTCTTATCTCTCTAATCTAGAATCTCATGGCTGTTCCTTCTTCTCAAAACAATATCATTTGTCTGCAACCAGAGAACAGAATAATTTACATGCTCAATTCTGTGTTTCTGGTGGGTAAAAGACTTGTTGGGCAGAGGCAGAAGTGCTACCAGATCATGCCCTCAACTTATTCCACTTTGGGCCGAGCCTGTGGTGACCATAGTTCCCTCAGGATACTTGCCTTTATATGTGATGCCTCCAGGAACTCATCCTGAACCTTAGTTCTAGCAGTGACCCAACCTCTAAGTAGCTGTGGGCTCTAGTGTTTAATCTCTCTAGGCCTTCATTTTCTCATCTGTGAAATGAGAAGCGTGGGTTCTGTGCTTTAAATCCTTTCGTCTCCAATATAACAGGATTCTATTTGTGTGGAGAATCCTGTTGCCAGAAGAGCAAATTTCAAAGGTAGCTTTTCTGAATGGTTAGAATGACTCTGAGTTTGGAGCCTTTCTCTGGTCTTTGACAAGAAAACCACCCAGTCCCGTTTTCTTCCTTGTTTCTTTAGATCTGAGCTACTCCAGCCCATACCTTCCCTGCCTTTTGTGACATAGCACTCTTCTCTTTTCCTACTCTTTTTTTCCTTCAAGACACATATTTTATGTCAGTTTTACACCCTTAAAGTATGTGACATTTTAGACTCTATTTTTGGCAACTTTTATTCTAAGAAATTATCCACTTATTCACCTAGACTTTTATTTTACCCACTGACAGGTATGTTTTTATCTAATTAGTGATTTACAAGAACTAAAAATGCAGTCCTCAGAAATACTTTATTGTTCTGCTGTTGTTGACTGTAACACTTGCACACAGTGGGAATTTTATGTAGGAATGAGTTGTTTCTTCTTGAAACCAGATGAGCCACAGGCCAAGTTCAAGGTGCAATTTAACAGCAGTTGATAACTTGGATCTTAACTTGCACTCGGATTTAGCTTTTACCTCATCTCTTAGTTCAACATAGATTGTTAAAATTAGGTTGTAAAGCATAGAAACTACATCGGAAAAAATACAAAGGAATGACAACAGTGCTTTTGTTAATGAACCTCGCTTTTCATGTCTCAAAGGCAGTGTAAGCTATGCAATAATCTATGTATTTATTTGTAAAACAGTCTGGAGTTAAGGAGCTTATTCAGTTGCTATTGTAAAAATAATTTTCTGAAATTGTGGTCTATCAACAGGAGATAAGATGGTACTTTTTGTTGCCTGCTGAGGCCCATTATGAATATTCTATTTCAGAAGCAAATTACAGTGTAAATACAATGTTCAGATTTATTTATTCCTATAATAGCATTTTTGCAAAGGAGCAATTTCATAATTTGACTTAGCATTCATAGCATACCATCATTTCCAACATCCTTATAACCACTGGTTAATTCACACATCCTTTGGAAGTTGTTTGTACCAGACCCACTTTAAAATAAAATCATCAAATGTTTAAAGATAAAGCAACTTTCCAAGGGCTAACCAGTGACTGGATGTGATTAACAGTTGTCCTTTCCTTCACACATCTGACTAGGAACTTCAGAGCACTTTAAACACAAAGATTAAAGATTAAATAAAGATTAAAGAGCTTTATTAATGCTTCTATTACAGGTGGGGAACTTGGTTGAAAAAATAAATCTAAGTCATCAGTATTTAAATGTAAATAGGACTTGACATGAATGATCATATTAATTGCACTTTTCTCTTGTTTGGTCCTCCTGAGCCATGTTTTTGTTAAAGGAAATGATTAATGGGTAGACTAGTATCTAAAGTTATTTAACTGATTCTCAGCATTGATTGAGAAATGTCTAGTATTTCTAAACACAAATGATAAAAAGAGAACTGAAACTGTCAACCCTCATTGTTGTTTTCATTACATCTTTCCTAGGTTTGACCTTAAGGTTTAAACTATTCATGTTTCTTATCAATGTTGTTTTAGGGTTTGATTTATATATTGATTGTACAGGACCTGAGGTTGATGGTGGGCATAAGTTCACTTTTAAATTTTTATCACAACATACACTTAGAAAAAACTATACATGGTAATAAATTTGGAACTCACAACTTGGAAGTTGGAGTAAATTCAGGTATTTTTTAAAATCATTTATTTGGATACCAGAATTCTTTCTCTGAATAACCCAAATGTTGCCTACACTTCATTCATTCATTCATTCATTTGTTCATTTAATCATCCAAGGAGTATTTATTGACCACCCACAATGTGCCAATTACCTGAGTGATAAGCAGGAAACAAAGTAGACATCATTCCCTGCTCTCATGGTACTTCCCTTCTAGAAAGACAATGGTAAACAAAAGAGATCTGCTACATCTAGAACTGTTTTTGCACTCTCTCTCTGCCCTTCTGGCTTGTGCATCCTTATTATCTTCACCTGCATGTTCCAAGGTAGACTCCCTTGCTTCATCCAGACAAGATGCGTATAAAAATAGTTTGGCTGAGATAATTGTTGGCTAAGCATCAAGTCTCTTTCTGGTTGCTGGTGATCTCTGTTTGCAACACTCTGCTGGGGTTTCAGGCCCTCAATGATTCAGACCTCAGCTGAGCTACTCTTGTTCCCCCCGGTTGCTCAATCTCTCTGCACATATGGTACTCACTGTCTTGTTCTAACTTTAGGTATTGCCTTTTTGGCCTATTATTATAGGTCCCACTCAACCAACCTTCACTCTTCCACAGGACCTGAGTGGTTTCAGGACACAGTGGACATGGACAGAGGGAATATGTGGCTTACAGAGCTTCCCATATGGGTTGGGGTTTCTTTAAAAAGGATGTGTTTGCCCTGGCTGATATACTTCAGTAGATTAAGCACAGGCTGAGAATCACAGAGTCATGTGGGTTTGATTCCCAGTCAGGGCACATGCCTGGTTTTTGGGCCAGGTGCCCAGTGTGGGGTGTGTGAGAGGCAATCACACATTAATATTTCTCTCCCCTCTTTTTCTCCTTCCCCTCTCTCTAAAAATAAATGAAATTTTTAAAATAAAAAAAGAAAGGGATGTGTTTGCCAGAAGTCAGGTCAGCAGGAGATTCATATATGGGAATCTTTCAGTGGGGGACTAAACACAGTCAGCCCTGACTTTTTGGAGTTGGTTTATTATCCTAGCACCCACTTTACTGGCTCTTCAAGTGACACAAATTAAACAGAAAGAATGGAAAGAAGCTGTAGAAATCTTTTCTACCTCATATGTCTAGCCAAGGTATGAAAATAATAGTAATTCAATAAAAATATTTACTACTAAATAAATGATACTACCCCATCCTCATCTCTCTCCACAAAAGATCCCCAAGCACTTCCTGAATATGACTAGTGGCCTATAATATAAAGAGACATTCTTAAGGAGACAGGAACAGAACTTGACCAGTGAGAGGATTTGAGGGCAGATGGGGACTAGGACATTAATGACTAAATAGCCTCCATGTTCAGATCTGAAAGACAAGTAGTCTCAGTAACACAAATAGTAAAAAAAAATAGTAGGTTTCATTTCAAACATTTTGAGATACTTTTGAAATATGCATACAACATTCTATAGCTTTTAAAGTAAGATGATCAAGTTCAATGCTATGAAAATGGGTTTGAACCACTTACTGTTAAAGGAAGGAAGAAAACTGGAGCTAACTTTTCAAACCTATTCTGAAGCCTGTCAAGGATGACAAATATATTTGATATCACAGTATATCTCTGATCTGTAGTACACTTGAGAAAGCTCCTTAGGAAGGATTGGTGTCATAGGCTGCAATGCCTACCATGGACTTCAGGAAAAAGTAGTTTCGCAAGGGCTACAAACCTGCAATTTTTTGAAAAGATTTTATTTATCTATTTATTTTGATGCCCAAAGTCCTCTTGAGGAAATTCTCTTTCTAGCTTGCAAAAGCTGTGGGAGACAATTAATATCATGTGCCCAGTTACAAGAAATATTGATTTCTAAAATGTCATGGTCTCATACCCTATAGGTGCTTGTGGATCTGACATAATACAGCACACACAGGCCCAGTTATAAGACAAGTCAGCTCCAAGTATTTCACACATTTATGAGCACAGGAGCTATTGTATTCAACACTGGATAAAGCTTCTGGGTAGCCACTGAAACTAGGCAAATGATATGGTAATCCAAGTTGCCTTCTATACCAAAGACAGTTGGATATGGTGCAACCATAAACATGGGGAAATTTTCAGAATTTTAGCAGGTAAACAAAAACAAGAAAAACTCAACTAACTCAGGTAAGTGAAACTGCCTGATTGCCAAAAGCTTTGGGTTTTTTGCCCCCAAGGCCGTACACCATTCCCAGAGGTACTGCAATACCATGTGAATGCACAGCATGGACACAGAAAGCTCCTGTTCTATTTCCCTGCTCCAAAAATCCATCTACTATATTGTCCTCAGATAGAAGACATATCAGATGTTAAACTGACAAGAACAGATACTACACTTGATCTTAGCCAAAAGGCTTGAGACATGATCAAAAGGAGGCTTTCAAAGGAAACTTCCACAGAACTAATTTTCCCAGCAAAAGTATATAAATATCAACTGACATTGTTTTATTCAAGCCACAGCTGAGAGCTTGATTAACTGGGAAACACCACAGTTAAATGACATTACATTCTTCATAGTCATCACTCCAATTTCAGTGTCTGCATAGAGAAGTATAGAAGTTACACTGAAATTGTGTCTGCTGAGGAATGACACTATTTCAACTCCCAGGAAAATTATTAAACTCTATAAGTAACTGTCACTTTTTCTTTCAAGGATAGCTTGCACCTTCCATTTTTGTATTGGTTTGGGAACATTTCCTTTGCTGCTTGGTTATGTATCTTCAGGAAGCAAATTCTTTGGCACTTGCACAGGTTTAGAACAAAACCAACATTAGAAGTAATAAAAACACAGGTAAAAGTCTTACTTTAATCAGAAGTTCACAACTGCAGATTCATTTGCATATCTTAGGAAGCCAAAAAGATGTTAAATTTTTAACCAATTAGCAAAAATATGTGCCACAGATTTTAATGTTCATAATATAGCATTTATCACACAAATATATTTACAAATACATGCTTTATTTACAAAATTATTATTATCAAAACATTTCTTCCAACATGTTTGAAATTTTCATATGTGTTTTAAGGAAAAAATCCACTCTATTTAAAATTTTAGTACTAAATTTTAATGTGTGATTAAACCAGTTTCACCAAATGGAAAAGGAAAAAAGAAACATACTGCTGTATTAGGTATGTACTTGTTACTACAAATAATGACAACACATGTCCTATAAGGTGATCATATACATGCTCTCGTTTCACTTCTCAGTCATTGTCAGAACAATTTGGAGCTAAGAAAACCAATGCTTCACTTAAAATATGCCCAAGGGCCCTAAGACAGTATACTCCATACATCATCACATGCATTTGATTAGGAGTCAGTCCATTAATAGTAACAGCCATATCTGAACAACATCCTTCTACTACCAAGTTGGGTTGATTAGTCATTGCCTCCTTAATAAAAAGCCCAACAGATTTGGTATTAAATACATCTTTCCCTTCAGAATCTTCTGCAAACACTGTAGCATATTTCAGGCAGAGTGCTAGCTGCTTATTTTCAGATACCTTCTAAATCATCCCTCCATGTTCAAGGCACTTTTTAGGGACACTTAGAAGGCTATTAAGTCTTTTCATTGATTCCATGCTTAGGACAATTCCTCCTTCCACAGTCATATATTCAATATTTCCAGATAGAAAGGTTGTGATGGATCCCTTTTTAGCAAAAAATAATTTAAGTTTTCAATAATAGCAAATGTTGAGGGGTGTGCAAGAATGAGCCAGATGTACTGGTCTCTGTGTTTATCAAAGGCATATATATTTTCAAGATTTTCTCATCATTAACCACATGTCATTTGTTCCCATGTTAATTGACTTAAACACTTTAACATTTTCAGAAGTGAAGAACTCCACTTTGTCACAGTGTCTGGTATAAATCTCCTTCACTGAAGCCCAAAGACTCACATTTTCGGGTTTTACAAGGATGATACAGTATGCCTGAAAGCTCTTACTGAGCTCCATGCATTCATTCTGTTAAATTTTCAAGATAACTTCATTATTACAACCTCGTAGGTGATGATGCTCATGGCGGTATATTCTATTTCCATAACCAATCTTAACGTGCCCTAGCATAGTGATCAAGGCGCAGAAAATACTTCCCAGCTCACACCTTCACAAATGAACTGCTCAGGAATGATTCCGGTGAGAGAGCGCCGCTGCGCACAGCTTCCCTCTCACATTTGTGCTCCCCTCGGTTATGCTCCAGGTCTGGCTGCTCTAGACGCTGGGCGGTGTCCTCTCTCCTTGGTTTCACAGAGTGGGGAGGGTCAGGAAACTGGCACCGCAAAGGCACTGGCAGCGGGGCTGAGACTCTTGATACAAACTGATGTCATGCTTGAGAAACTAATTCTTGGGGTGGGAAGTTAATGACATTTACTTTAAAAGTGCAACTACATTTCCAAAGAAATTGATGTTTTTATGACAATTGATATTTAAAATCACGAATTGGTACACTCTCTAAAAGGGACCAGATAGTAAATATTTTAGGCCTCCTTGGCAAGACAGTTTCAATCTCACCTACTCAACTCTTCCATCACAGCATAAAAGCAGTCAGACAGAATAGGTAAAGAAATGAGCATGTCTGTGTTCCAATAAAACTTTATTTACAACAGGCAGATGGACAGATTTGACATGCAGGCCCTAGTTTGCCAACCCCTGTCTTAGTTGAAAATTTTGCTCTTCTGTGAATTTATGGTTACCAAAAATTAGAAGCCATGCTTTGTGCAGTTTTCTTTATGGCAGGCAATAGGAGATTGTCGGCTTGTGAATACTTAGGAAGGGAAGTAAATCTGCTTTTGTTGCAAAGCAATTATGAACTGAGCAAGGAAGCTATGAATCAGCCTGTTGTTTCAACATGTGTATGGAGTAGTCTTTAAAGTTAGGCTTCTGTTTGCCCTGGTTGGACTGCTGTACCTCTATCCTGAATCTTATCTTAGTGTGCTTTCTTAAGAAATTCATTTTGACTCCCACAAAAGTACTCACATCCACATATATATACCTCACTCAATAGTGATTTAGTCAGGGGCTCCATTGTTCATTAATTCCAGCATTGCTACATAATTTCTGGGAGAACAAAGTTGAAGCTGCAAGGGAAAAAAATCTGATAAATAGCTTTGTTCTCATGAAACCTACACAACAGAGAATATTTTCCCCAGATGTTAAACACATAATTGCTTTTCCTCAGGTGACCCTTTGTAGAGCAGCTAAAAGATATCACTGACTACCTTTTAAAAGGGTACAAAACACAAAGAGACTAAACCAACTGTAATCTCCTAAATAAAGTTACTATGTCATAGATCATTAGCAATTAGCTATCGAGGAAACTTGTAAATCAACCACAGGGATAAAATGTGTTTCATCATATTATTTTAGTGCTTGTCTACCTCCCTCCTGAAGGTACTTTGAATTCAGAATTTTTATGGTAAAATATAGAAGGAAGAAAGTTGCTATCAGTGACTAGTGGAATCTAATTTAGGTGTGTGTGGACACACACACACACACACACACACACAGAGCCTTCTGACCTCAGGAATGCAAAGTAGCTAGCTGCCTTGGTAAACACACCTCTGAGTCCAGCAGTGGTTTCATGCTCATTGTTTCTGTCTCTTTGATTTATGCTGGAGAAACAATGGGAGCTAGATGTCCACAGCTCTCTGCCAGTAATAGAAATGTGTTTGCTGATGAGTTCAAGCAAGTAACAAAGAGTTGGGGGGAAATAGATTTGACCTTAACAAATTAATATGAACAATAACTTTGCTGCATACACATGTGTAACAGCTGCAGTTACAATTTTGGTTAGAGATACTTTTTCATTTAAAGACCCCAAGTTTTGTTTCCATCTTAAGCTTTTAGGCATAATACACATTTTTAAATATGTGTAGAATAACCCTGGCTGGTGTGGCTCAGTTGGAGCGTTGTCCCATACATAGACCAAAAGGTGGCGAGTCAAATTCCCAGTTGGGGTGCTTATAAAAAGGCAACCAATCAATGTTTTTGTCTCACAGTGATGTTTCTCTCTCTCTCTTTTTCTCTTTCTTTCCCTCATCTCTGTAAAAGCCATGGAGAAATGTCTTCAGGTGAGGATTTAAAATAATTAATTAATTAATTAATTAATTAATTAATTTAAAAAATGTGTAAAATATTACAAACACACATATACGGCTCAGCAGCTAGCTGAGAAGACAATCTCAGATTTATATTCTTAACCCATCTATTTAATGAAGGAAGAAACTAGAGTTTTGACAGTGAGTGATTTGTCCAGTGAGTGGGGCAATGGTGCAAATTCTGTTCTCCTGTTTCTTCACCTATTCACAGTTCTTCTTCAGCCATGTGTCTTTCCTGTTTGTTATCTGTGTCAGGTGGTACATATTAGTGAGGCAGTGCTTTGGGTTATATGCACCCCTTTTGTTGCTAGTTCACCAAGGGGTTCATAACTTACTCTGTATCATCTTGAAGAATAAAACAGAGACCAATGGGTAGAAACTATTATCCTAATTTGTTTCTTTTAACTTGAAAGATTCACATATTTTAAAATAAAATGGTTTTAGTATATTATATGTGTTTGTACAGATGTAATTCAACACATTGTATTAGTTGTTATCCATCTAAATATGTGACAGCAAATCTTCAGAATGAAGTTACCAATTAAGTCACCTGAAGTCACTGATTCCCACTACTCTCCCACATGCTATAAATTGGGACGTTGTAATGTCACAGCACTCACTGATAGCCTGGCAGAATACACAGTCACAGTGCACATTGTTCCAAGGAAAATCACTATTCAATTACAAATAATTGATTTAATTATATACATTACTTTAAATCAGTCTGTTTGTATGAATGCTTTTGCTTTTGGGGATTTCATGGCTTACACTCAAGTCATATGGTTTTCTACCTATATCTACTCTGCAAGTTCCCTTCCTCCTAGAAGCTTTCAATCAGTGTCTGATGCCATATGTGAGGAGTGCCCTGAATTTCTGTAAAGATTCAGACCTAGACTAAAGTGGGTCCACAAATAAATGGAGATGGGTAGTTTGAGTGCCCACCTGTTTAGATGGAGTCATTTTCATTTCATTCCCCAGAGCACATAAGGAAAGACACGGCTCACCTCAAAGCTAAATTTGAATGGGATAGTGGTACTAGAGTGGCCACTAAGGGAAAATCATCATGTAGCAGAGTTCTGGTGCTCCTGAGTGCTGAATATCAAAGGGACCAATGAGTCAACAACTGGCTAGAAGAAAACATTCCAGCCAGGAGGGGTCTTGTAGAGAAGGACAGAGATGGCAAACGAAACCACCTCAATGACAAAATGAACCAAGGTTCTCTTGGCATGGTGTCATTCATTTTCTTCTCATCTTAGCTTTCTCAGTTTT